CTCAGCACCTCGTAAAATGCACAAGCAGCGTTATGAGACCAGCAGAAATACACGAAATGCCTTCTTCGTATTTCTTTCCCACAGACACACAGGGAGGCACAACCGGCTGTGCCGACTGAATGGGTAGCTCTAGCACCACCCTACATTCAACCAAATGTATCGTCACGGAAACGTGCTCTTTCCTGGAAGCACAAATGTGTTATGGAGATGGACTGATTTCAGATACAAGGTTTCCGAGGTCCAGGGTGGTCATTTCCGGGGATGGGAAGAAGACACCAGAACTGAATACTTGCTGGTTTTGCTCCAGGAAGGGACATTTGTATATGGTTTTATAAAAACATTCAAAATGGTTGTTTTCATGTCACCCGGGAACAAAAACATTCAAAGCCCTGAAAGGTGTCCTGAATAGAAACAAGTAGTCTATTCAATTCAAAAAATGTGTGAATGGCTCCTTAAGAGCCACCTGGCGACCCTTTTGAAATGTAATGGCGACCGATATTTGGGTCCCGACCCATAGGTTGGGAAACCCTGCCTTAGAGTCTAGACCGTAGCCAGCACCTTTCTGTCCATCTTTGTGGCTGCTTTGCTTCCCTCCATACTGACCCGTATAGGAGAACATCATTAAGATGATTCATGTGGAACACCATAAGAACATAACACAAGAACATAAGAACGGCCGTACTGGGTCAGACCAAAGGTCCATCTAGCCCAGTATCCTGTCTACCAACAGTGGCCAGCACCAGGTGCCCCAGAGAGGGTGGACCGAAGACAATGATCAAGCGATTTGTCTCCTGCCATCCCTCTCCAGCCTCTGACAAACAGAGGCCAAGGACACCATTTTATCCCCTGGCTAATAGCCTTTTATGGACCTAACCTCCATTAATTTATCCAGCTTCTCTTTAAACTCTATTATAGTCCTAGCCTTCACAGCCTCCTCTGGCAAGGAGTTCCACAGGTTGACAACACGCTGTGTGAAGAAGAACTTCCTTTTATTAGTTTTAAACCTGCTACCCATTAATTTCATTTGGTGTCCTCTAGTTCTTCTATTATGGGAACTAATAAATAACTTTTCTTTATCAGCCCTCTCCACACCACTCATGATTTTATAGACCTCTATCATATCTGCATCCCAAGGCTTTCACATCACAGAGGACGTCCAGGAGAAATTTCAGACTGTCCAGTGGCAAGAATGTCCCTGCAGCCTATGAGTGGAGGGTTTTGAAGAGTTTTTTGGAGGGTTTTCTGTCACTGGGGAGTCCCATGTCAAAAGACAGTCTCAGACAACTCTGCTGTTGTTAGAAGCCTACTCCTAACAGAGTTTTCCATCATTTGTACCAGACTCTCTTGTCACGTAGGGATTGAAAAAATAGGAAAAGTCCCTCTGCTATGTCTTTGCTCAGACTTTGGGAAAGGAGGGACATAATACAAGTCAGGATTTGGGGTGAGACTGGGTATTGTTTAGATTTGATTATGATGTTTGGTTAGCTCTTGCTCAGGAAAGATATTGGACGTAAAAATACAGACACTCTAATCTCTATTTAGCCACAAGAGATACAACACCATCAGCCACAATCCCTTACCCAGTGTCTCACCACTCAGAGAACAACTCAGCCTCCCTGCTAATTCAGTCCTTGGCCTCTACTCAAACGCCTGGTAAGTTTTCAAAAACTGCTGCCAGTTAGGGATGCAAGCGACTAGGCAACTAGTGATGTGACTAGTCGCTTCCCCATCCCTTGCTGCCTCTATCAGAGAGAGTCAGCAAGAGGGGGGAGCAGGAGCCAGTGCTGGGGGGAAGCTGGTTTAAAAGCCCCAAGTGGGTTCTTGTACATTTCAAAGGCTCAGGTGCTGCAAGAAGAGCGGAACCAGTCCACTGCTGTCCCCGCGCTCCCTGCTGGGCGTCTGCTCTTGAGCCCGGCAGGGCTCTTGCTACAGTTCAAAGGCAGAAGTGCCCTTTATGACTAATCAAATACTCGGTGGAAATCCCATCGACTATTCGATTAGTTAATTAATCTAAATTTAACATCCCTACTGCCAGTTGCTATTTAACAGGTGAACGTCTATCCTTAGAAATTGGAGAGAGACGGGCAAGTCTCTTGGCAGGACATTGCTGATTCATACATGGTAAGTCATAACTAAGCAGGTTTTCTGACGATGTCATGACTTCTCAAATGAGTATGACCAGTCTGAGTCTGGGATTTTGCAGAGGAGCCTAAGGGAGTCAGGCAACCAAAATTCATTCATTTGCCTATCCTCTGGAAGAATCTGTGGAACGTCCAGCTAGAATCTTTGCAGACCTGGCTGCACATATTTGCATTTAATATATGAACTAGCAGCAGCTGTGGTTTTTGTTCTGCTTTGCTAGTTTCATCTGTTGGACAAATGTTTCCATCCTTGGCCTGTCTGAAATGATACATTTTGCATCCAGCCACTTCTTCCCATGCCACAGCCTTTTATTCTTGTTTACACAGCAGGGTTTTCTTTTTCAGTGTGGAAGTGCGCCAGTGTAACCTCAAGTGGACTACAGACATTCCTGTCTTCCATGGGATGCAGACCCCTGTCTGGATGAGGTGAAGAACAGCCCCTTGACGGCAGAGAGTTTACAGTGTTTTGACTACGGCAATCTTTAAAGATCTATCTTTTATTGTAGACTTTGTGAGCGCTTTCAGGCAGGGATGGTTTTTTGTTCTGTGATTGTACAGACCCTAACATCCTGGGTCATGGCTGGTGCTCCTAGATGCTACCACATTTCCAATAACAACAACAACAAAAAACAGCAGGGATATGTCTAGACTGCATCCCTCTGACGGCAGAGAGATGCAGATTAGGCAGGTCGACATTGCAAATGAGGCAGGGATTTAAATGTCCCGTGCCCAATGTGCATAAAAATGGTCGCCGCGTTTTGCTGACTCAGCACTTTGTCGGCAAAAAGCGGCAGTCTAGAGGGGGATCTGTCAAGAAAGAAAATCTTTTTCGACAGATCCCTTATGCCTCCTGCAAGGAGGTTTACAGGATCTGTCAAAAAAGGCTTTCTTTCTCAACAGATCCCCCTCTAGACTGCCGCTTTTTGCGGACAAAGTGCTGAGTTGGCACAATGCGGCAGCCATTTTTATGCAAATTAAGCACGGGATATTTCAATCCTTGCCTCATTTACAATGTCGACCTGCCTAATCTGCTGACAGAGGGATGCAGTCTAGACATACCCCAGCTGACCAATGGTCTGACCAAGTGTGGCTGTTATTATGAGTTTTGTAACTGGTAAAACTATCCTATAAATACTCCAACTTAAAACTCAGTTGAATTATTATAATTTGAATACTGCTTCTTCAAAAAGCAAAACACTTACCAGAATCTGAATACATGAATTAAGGGAATGCCTTCATTATGGGATGGTTTGATCACTAGTATAGATGCAATAAATCAATCGCCAAGTGGTCTCCCGTTGACTCTAGTACGCCATCAAAATGAAAGTGGAATTGATGGGAGAGTGTTAGCTGTCAACTTACTGCGGGAAGCAGACCTAAGTATGTCAACTTTAACTATGTTATTCATGTAGCTGAAGCTGTGTAACTTAGGTGGCCTGTCAACAAAGCCTTAACAGTGAGGACTTCTTTATATCAGGTGCCACAAGACCATAGAGAAGGTCAACATAAGAAGTCAACTCTAGCTTTGCTTTTGGGTTTTTTTAAAACTTTTATCAGAAAAGAAACAAATTTAACTAGACTAGATGCAAAAATAGCATGCCAATATTAATTTTGCACATCACACATATTCCAAAGTTAGCATGCAATAGACTATTTGTAAAATAGTTGCTCTTGTATAGGAAACTAGTCCCACCTGAAATTTAGTGGGTCAAATCCTCTTAGGAACTTTAAGCCACACTGCTGTCATGCTTCTGTCGATAGGCACTATACAGTATTTTTTTTAAATTCCATAACTTTCTTTTCACCATGAACAAAGTACGGAATTTAACATATACAATGCAAAGTAATAATATTTCCATTGCTAGCAGGAGCCACAAAAATCAAACCAAAGATAAAATGTATCTTACACCACCACAAAAAGATCATCCGTAACAGCATACCATAAAGAGTAAATTTAAAATGCAGTTCTGCCTCCATCAGCTACTTTTTAAAGAACACCTCTGCTCCTTGAGATATTTGAAATTCAAATGTGGTAAACTTGAAAGAAAGTAAAGTTGGGATACCTATGGGCATACAGTCAAATAAAATGAACCCTGAACTTGAGTCATAGTAAAGACTTCTTCAAATCTTTCTTCCTTCTCTTTGATTTATACCCAGAAATATAAATATTTTCCAAGCTTTTTATCTATATCACCAGCTAATGTACAGCAAATATCTGTAATGCCTAAGCAATAACTGTGACGTGAGGTTAGTCAGCACTCATCAGG